TTTCCTCCCGGTGCTAACAATTAGGGAAATTGTTAGGGAAATCAAGCTATTTAAGATACCAGGCCTCCCAATGCTAAAACTATAAATTTTTGCTAGAAATAATAAGATCCATGGTACAACTACTTTTTAAACCTCTTTCCAATAGTATAGTGTACAGTACTCGCAACCTCCATATGCCATATGACAATTCAAAAATGAATGTTTTTGTTAGATTTTGTTTGATTGTTCAATATTAATAGTAAACTTAGTTAACATGAAAATTGTGTTCATTTTCATAAAGAATATTCTGTAAAGCATTCACTGATAGCGCACTCTATGGGTAATAGCAAGCAATAACAGAGCATTTCGTAATGTGTTATCATATGAGTGCATAAAACATGTGAATTGAGTTCACAATTGATTTCATTATTTATTTTGTTTATTATTTAATTGCAATTAACTCTCACATTAATACTCTAACCGTATATTAATTGCTTAATAATTGCTTCAAATACTTATTACTGTATATGTTTTAACTGTAATCAATATAACACATAATTTTTGTATTATTGTTTGCATTCATTGAGACAATTGTGAACAGAATCGACAGAATATTCTGTGCCTTAATCTCAAGCCTTAATAATACTGACAATGAATTCAATGGACAGAGGATTCAGTGCGAAGTGCTATGACTTGATAGCCATCGATATGGACAACACTTTAGTGAAGTATAACCTGAAGAATACATTACCACTCATTCATGGCTTGATTCAGAAGTTTTTGGTCCAGAATTATGGCTACAATCCAGAGATAACTCAAGGATTTTGTGGCAAATATTGTCAAAAGGGTTTAGTTATAGACAAACGACGCGGAAATGTCTTGAAATTGGACTCAGAGTTTGGTGTCATGTCTGCCAGACATGGCTTCAAAGAGCTGTCCACTGAGTCCACTCGTGAGGTCTATGGCGCCGACGATGTGATCAGAGATCTGCGAAGAATACCTGATGTCTTGAGTTCGGGAACTATTAATACCACTGAAGACAAAGACTTTGATTACGCGGTTCTCAAAGACTTCTTTACGAGTCCTTCAGCGCAGGTGTACTCCAAATGCGTGGAAGTGTTGGATTCGATGGCAGATAATAGCGCTTCCGATGACCACTTCCGGAACCGTTACGCGAAGATATGGCGCGACTTATACTCCGCGTTGTGTCTTATGTACGGAAGACAACAGTTTAAGCCACGACTTGGCGGTTGGTTTCCGGAGTTGACGGACAGACCCGACAGATATCTCGTGAAGACATCGGATCGCGTGAAACAACTGCTGAAGACGTGGAGGCAATCGGGAAAACACGTGGTTTTGGTCACGAGTTCTAACGTGGATTACATGAAACATTTGATGAACTATTCGTTCGGTGATTACCACCAGTGGATCAGTTGCTTTGATTATGTGCTGACATTCGCTCGAAAGCCCACATTCTTCACGAGTGACCGCCCCTTCCTAGCCGTCGATTCCGATGATAACATCGGCGGTGAGGTTGCCGTCGATGACCTGAAATGCGGGCAAATCTATTCGGAGGGCAATTGGCGGGCATTGAAAGAATTGGTGACTAAGAAGTGCTCGAAAGCTGATCCCATGTGTCTTTATATCGGCGACAGTTTCACCGACGACTGTATAGTTCCCGATAAGTACGCCGATTGTCATACCATTGGTGTTGTCGAAGAACTCGATGAAGACAACCGTCCGGAGTTGGACTCAAAGTATTGGCAATCTTTTCTGAAAGACAGCGACAATAATACCACTCTTTGGTATGATTTGCTCCAAAAACACACCAAACTATTGGTTCCCGACATGGATTGGTTGGCCGACTATTGCCAGACATAAGTGTTAGTCAATTGGGGTTTAGTTCTGATTTTGATTACAGTAGAGGAATGTTTTGTCACAAAAATAGTACACAATTCTAGTCTTAATACAGTATTAAATATGTCTCAATCCTTACAGTTATCAACAGTTATTAACATTTAATTTGTTCATTGCTTTTAATCTTATAAATGTTTTTAGACATGAAATTGTTTTTACGGGTTATAAAAATTATATTATATTCACTGCCATAGTAACTAATAAATTGTCTGTAATTTGAATCAATTAATAAATAATAAAAATGTTATTTCAATGAAATAAATGTTATGAATTAAAGTTTAATCAGTGCCGTAGTAATAACAAGTAAACTGAATTGATTGGTGGCTACCAGTGCTCACTGACCACAGACTCTATGATATTGTCAATAGAAGTGCGGGTTGTCTGTGGTTCGGACACATTCGTTGACACAACTACCTGTGCATCAGCCAAACCAATTAGATGACAATTACAGCGTCTGTTCAGACGCTTGAGTTGATCGCTCAATAGTACCACAAACTCATCGCTGATTCTCTCTTTCAATACAATCACTATATTCTGTTCACTCGTATCTGAAACCCAAACCAATCATTAATCACTAAAAGAGCAAACATTTGCCACAAACCATAGGAATTGATGTCAAACCGAAGACCATTCGGAGAATTACTTCCCAAATGGAGTCCCTTTTGAACCATACGATTGTAGTCCTCCACGGGTTTAATACATAAGAGGGGCAGTGAGGGGTCGGTGCAAATGGCCAGGCGTTGCATATCATTGAATTGTAATATAAAATCATATTTGAATTTTCGATTTCCATTGTTTGGCTGAATGTCTGTAATTTGGATGCCGTCCTCATACAACTCCACTGACTTTGGGACTGTCCTATAGGTGCCGAACAGTATGTATTGGACGTGTAAAGTGTCCCGAAGTCTGTGTGCCGTCTGTTTAACGTTGTCCTCAATTGTCTTCATTTCATCGGCGGTTTTGTCGACAGTATTGGTCTCAACGGGTTTCGAGTCAACCGACTCATGCTTTTGCTTTATATTGCTTTTAGACACGCTATCCATTGATTCCTTCAAATTCTGGTGTTTGGCCTCCAGTTCCCTGTACTTGACATCCATTTCCGAAGCATTTTCTTTCATTTCTTTCATCTGTTTTGTCAGTAAATTCTTGTCGTTTTCAACGCTTTTGTAATTATTCTGCAAATTCTGTAACTTTTCGTTCAATTCATTGCTGTCTTTCAGCAACAGTTTAATACACACGTCATCTGTGTGTCTGTCTTCAGGTGTCTGTCCAACACTGTGTCCACACTTCTTGCACTTCTTGTGTTCACATGTCTTCACATGTGTTGACATCGACTCCAATGCCACCGCTTCTGGACAGCCATTCCACTCGAAGTCACATCTGATCCGTAATTTCGAAATGATTGCATTCAATCTGAAGTTCTTTGAAACCAAAACATCGGTTCCAATGATAATCACATTATTATCGTCGACTGAAGCCTTGGATCTCTTTCTTGTGGTGAACGGTTGTCGACATTCGGGACACTCTTTGCGTGCATTGTTTGCAACCAAACGGATGATGCAATTGAGACAATAAGTGTGTCGGCATTTGGTGTCCACAGCATTGCTTAAGACAAGCAAACAGATGCCACACTTGAGCTGATCCGCCAACCCATCTCAGGCCTCCAGGTCGACAAAACGATTGCATTCAAAGCCAACCATTGATTGGATGAACACTTGTTATGACTATTGGCTTGAAATGAGTTTGAATTTTGTTCACAAATATAATGCAAACAAATAACATGTGTTTTGTATTTTAAATTGAATTTTAGGATATATTTAATATTTCAATGTTAAGTCCTATGAGATTTCTCCATTATAAAATTTAACATTATATTTCCCATAGAACTTAACATTAAATTCTCCATAGAGTTAATATAGGAGTTTATCCACAAATTTCATTTGGAGTTCACTCACGTATTGTATGTATGAATGAATACCAAGTTTTCAATTCTTGTCAACTCATGCCGTTATCACGTGATCGACACTCCAGTTGACGCGAGTTTGACATAACAATCACATCCACACCACAACTCATTCATTGATATCTCGATGACACACCCGATGGCATAATAATGGCTAACAATCAACACATGAATGATGAGGCAATGGACTGCGGGTCAGGTGCTTATGACTTGAGAGATGTCTTGAGAAAACTGATCCAAAAGCCGATGACACCCGGAGAGCACTGGTATCTGTTGGACATAAAGTGGTGGCAATTGTGTCGACTATATCTCAAAGACACTGAAAGACAATTGGTTCGCAATCCCGGACCCATTGATAACTCAGGTATTTGTGTTGACACTAACCTCACGAAGAGTTGATCCCATAATGACTTATTCATTGATTGATAGCACTGTTTAAATCGACAAACTCTTGGACTCTGAGGAATGGACTAAACGAAGACATCGACTATCAGTTTGTGCCCGAAGAGGGTTGGCATCTATTAGTGGCTGAGTTTGGTTTGTTAGGCGCCGAACACGTGATCAGTCGACCAGTCATACACCGGAGCCGACACTCGGCATACGCTATGCTTGAGGTCTACCCTCTGGTACTACACGTTCGGCCGTACGGTTCCACTGGTGATGACAATGAGATAATTGTTGACGACTTGAGTCGAGCCACAACTTTGGCTCAATTGACGGCACGACTGAAGACATTGATGGTCGTGGAGGTGACGGCAGAGACCAGGTTGTGGTCGAATGGGTGCCCATTGAACGCCAGTCCCACCGATGATGACCAGAGTTTGTACGACGCGGGCATCACCAAGAAGTCAGTCGTGGAACTGGAGGTTCGCAACCGTGACGGCACGTGGCCTTCCAGTGCGTCCTACAGGCCTACGGCAGCCGTTCCGGGAGTGTGTGGACTCATAAACCTGGGCCACACCTGCTTCATGAACGCCGCCCTCCAGTGCCTCTCACACACACAGCCTTTGACTGAATACCTCCTGTCGGGTGACTATAAGCGCGACTTAAATCGGGAGAACCCGTTGGGAATGGGCGGACAGATCGCCGACGCATACGCAGCACTGATTGGCCAGTTGTGGAGCGGGTGTCATACCTGTGTGGCCGCCACTGACTTCCGAATGATTGTCAGCATATTCGCCGAACAGTTCCAGGAGTTCGCTGAACAGGACTCCCAAGAGTTGATGGCATTCCTGTTGGACGGCCTAAACCACGATCTCAATAGAGTTCGACACAAATCATACGTCGAGTCCCGCGAAGACACCGATGACTTGACTGATCAGATGTTGGCCGAAGAGCAGTGGTTAGACTACCGGCGCCTTCACGATAGCATAATTGTGGACACATTTCATGGGCAGTTGAAGTCGACCATCCAGTGCTCCCATTGTCAATATACGAGCCGTAGGTTCGACCCCTACTGTTACCTGAGTCTACCCTTACCTGAAAAGGTATGTCTCTATACTATACCGTAGTATTTGTTCAATGAATGTGTGGATCAGTTCGTGTGATTAATTTGATTGTCTTATAGCGCGAGCGTCGTATTGATGTTACTTTTGTGTCGACTCTACCGTCGATGAGATCGCAAACAGTAGGTTCGGAACCGATGAAAGTGATCCGAATAACTGGTCTCTGCGTACCAATCGATGGTGTAATCGCCGATATCTGCAAATCAGTGACTACTGCTGTCAATGAATGTCATGCCGTCGACCACACCGTCCACTCGGAGAGCCTTCTGGTCACCGATGTATACAACCATCGCTTCTATAAGATCTTTGATCGCCACGAGTCCTATGAGACAGGACTCACAGAGTGTGATGAGTTGGTGGTCTATGAGCTCCAGGACGCCAACTGTCCGTCCGTTGCCGTGTATTTGCGCGAAGTAAATGCCGATAAAACTACAGGCGCTCTGTTTGGACGTCCATTTGTTGTTAGCATCACTTCCGACTCCGATTACGAAAGTGTTTACCAATCAGTGATCCAACACTTGCTCGCATTCATTCCCGAGGGGTTGGACGAGAGCACAGGTAGCTTTGGACTGGCATTAGTCAACTCATTTGGTTCGCTAGACATCAAACCCGTCGACCCTTCCAACGCTTTCTCATCGAAGAACTCATTAAACTATTTGGCCGTCGATTTGCCATCAAATGTGCGGACTCTGTATAACAAGTCTAAAGCCAGGGATGTTATTAAGCTACCGGTGCCCAC